TTAGATCGTTATTTGTGTTTATGCTATAATTTGGCTAAATTGGTTAATTGAATTAAATTGATTGTTTGAATTGAATTGTTGAGGATTGTGAATTGACTGAACAGGTTTGACTTTGACTTGGGTTAGGTCCAGTTTGACTTGGACTTTGACTGGATATTCTGTTGACGTAGGTTTGACCGAATGGTTAAATCCAAAACTTTAATGAATTAGTTAAGTTAATTAATTATTTCTAATCGGTGATTAAGGTCATTTGGTTTATTGTGTTGAACATAGAAACTGGCCATTGCTCGGGCGGCTGCAGGGCTTGGTCAGTGAGGTTAAGACGTGCGCACGAGGGTCTGCGATCTTGGGTTTGAGGCCATCGCCCGAGGGATCCTACCTCCACCGAATTGAGGCCATATTCGGTATTACGGATTGAGGCTATCTCCGTCATAGGCATTAAATGTTAAGTGGTTTGACTTTGGTGAAAGTCTAAATTGGTTTGACCGGTGGTCAAAGAGTTCATGAGAAACCCGTAACACTTAAATCGTTTTGAAAAGAAAGAAAATAAGTTGACTGTTGGTCAACCGTCTAAAGAACCGAATGTAAAGTTGAATTGATTTTTATTAAAAGGATAAACATATGCACGATCTTAATTGTTGAATTATTATGTTTATTCTTGTGCTACAATGGAGTACCACTCAGCGTCAATGCTGAGCGGATAGCGTTCTTTCCTTTTTGCTGTCCGTAGGTGATCAGACAGATGAACCTAGTGCCGATCCTAGAGGGCATTGAGGAGGAGATGTACGATGGCGTGGCTGTCTCTTTAATCTGTTGATTATGCTTTATTTAATTAACTTTAATGCTTATTACGTTTTCGGGCAAGATCCCAAGTTGTTTGACTTTAAAAAGGCTTCCGCATTATTTTAAATTACTCCGATGGATTTTTATATGTATTGATAGAACGTTTGTTTTAAATTGTTTTGAAAATGTCGCAAATTCGGATACCAATTCAGTGGCACACCGGTCCGCTGTCTCACGGGTTTGGGTCATGCGGGTTGGGGTGTTACACGTAGGCAAAAGCGCTTCATTATTCTTCCTGTTTGAAGTTCAGGAAGATCTCTATACGCGTTGATAATTCCAACATGCCTATCTGAAATGATACATACTTGCAAAGAACGAATAACCCTTTGAACAAGCAACCTCAAAAACCATGCCCAACTTTCACACGTTTCCCCGTCAACCACCGTGTAAGCAATAGGAAAAAGCTCTTGATTTCCATTCATCGCCACTGCCAAAAGTAAATGCCCCTTGTACTTTCCATACAGGTGAGTACCATCCACAGTAACAAGGGGCAAACAAAATTGTAACCCTTCAATAGCAGTAGGAAATGCCCAAAACGCATACTTAAAATGAAGTGCTTAAAATTCATCCCTCTTCTGTTTCGTCAACATCAGAATCACTGTACTCACTTTCATCATCAGTGTTGGGGTTATCAATGTTGTCAATGGGAATGGTGGGACTTTTTAATAATTAAATAGATAATGAAACAAAAAAAAGATAAGTAAAACACTACATACCTTCCAAAAGAAGAAGACCTTCTTTTACTCTTTTGGATTCTTAAATCTTGTAATCTAAAATATATATATTTTTTGGCTATATTATCATATATAGAGAGTTGTAGAGGAAGAAAACTTAAATGAAAAAAGAACCTAACTTTGCTATTTAAGGATGGATACATATGGATACAACTATTATAATGCATTAAAAAACCATTCTCACATGCCTAAATTTGGAATCTCCTACAAAAGTGAAAAACTTTTTCAGAAAAATTGGAATGTTGAACCCCTTTTTTTGTAAGCTCTATTAAAAAAAAACTTTTTTGGGATGTTGAATCTCAATCTTCCCTCTCAGGAATTCAATCCTACAATCAGGAATTTATTCCCAAAGTTTTTCCTACTACGGGAAACTACCTGTGGATCGGAGTGTGGTAATTGGTGGTGGAAAAAGGGTTTTTTATTTGAATAAAGCAACTAGTATGGGTGGACACGGTACCGATACGATACCGTGACCGGCAAAGGTACCGCCGGTACCCGCCACCGTCACCGCTGGTCGGGACGTTCCAACGGTTCCGGAAACCGGTACCAGAACTGCCCCCCTCGGTAGCGGTTCCGATACCGTTATTTTTTATTATTTACAATATTTAAATAACAACTACATTTTTAGATTTTTTATGTCATTTTTTCCTTTATCAATTGCATTTTTAAATTTTTTTTATTTCATTCTTTCCTTTAACAATTGCACATTTACAATTTTACACTTTAAAATTTTAATAAAAAAGAAAAAAATTGGGGGTGGCCGAAAATGGCCGATCCGGTACCGGTACCGGAACCGCCGGTCTGGGTACCGGAACAGGTACTAGACGGTCCGGTCACGGTACTGGTACCAAGGGGTGGCGGTACCGGAAATGGCGGTTCCGAAACCAGAACCGTCCCGAAACTGTACCGTGTCCACCCCTAGCGACTAGTAGTTGTATTTTAAATTATACACTATAGTCTCTCATAAGTTCATGGTTTACCCTCACACTAAACTCAAGTACAAAATGTGTTGATCACTCTAGCATATTTTGTCACTATAAACTATCAAAGTGTCAATGCAAACTTATGACTATACAACTTTCGGTGCAAGTCTTGTCTCTTGGGATACACCTAGTATATTTACATTTTGAATTTATTTCCCAAATATTTTATGTCTTTGAGTAGTCCTAACTTCTTTAGTTTTATTCCCGGTGACTATTTTTATAATTTTGATTTATTTGTAATTTAAATTGATAAAATTTTGAACATTAAATAAATAAAATTCATACTTACCAATAGATATTGGTGCGAAAGTTATTTTATTACATTTGTTTTGTAAAATATTTTCAAAATATGATTTTATATAATTAATACAAGATGTAATTTTGCGTCAGTGCCCAGTGAACACCGCCCCTCCTTTGCGACGTCAACCTGACGAACTCGGTACCGAATTGACACCGCACCAAAAAGCAAAATTCGGTATATAAGATTTTATATACAGCAAAATTGAAATCGAAGAAGATGAAGTGCGGTGGAGAGGAAAAGGTGAGGAGACGAAGAGGTGAGCGGACGAAGAGATTTAGATTAGATCTAGATCGGATAAGGAGAACGTGACTGACACAAAAGGGGAGGGAGGGTAAAAGAGTTCTTTTAGAGCACTGGAAATATCCGTGAAGCCACAGAGCTTCAAACCGGGACTTCAGAATTTCTCTCTCTGTCACACCAGCTTTAAGTTCTCTCACAGATTCAGTGGAAATGGTTTTGAAGCCCTAGGACTTCAAACAGGGGCTTCAAACCTTCATTTCTTACCTTTTTAAATATACATCTTCTAAGACTATATTAATAAAATTTAATTATTTTATTATTTAATTATATTGAAACAAGAATAATTAAAAAAATTACATTCATTAAATTTAAAGAAATTGAAACGACAATAATTTTAAAAAATTACATTCATTAAATTAAAAAAAGAAAGCGACAATAATAAAAAATACATTAATAAAAAAAACTAAGGTAAATTATATTTGGCCTTGATCTATTTTTGTCTTCTCTCGAAGATCATACGTTTGAAAGCTGATAACGTAGAAAGGTCGGTTTCCATGATTTTGATCTCGTCCTTCTCTTCGTTTCGCTTCATCCTCTCTTCTTCTCGAATATTGAACACCTGAACTTGTTCAACCATTGCTCAACCGATTTCGTCACGAGAAGAAACGGAAACAAACCTGGACTCTCCAGAACCCGAGGCAATGGATTCTGATTTCTTTCTTCCGATCGCCCGTGGAATGAGGTCTTTGTCATCGGAATCCGAAATGTTGAAGGAAGGCCTTTGTTCGGACGAACAGATAGTGTCATCGACCTCAATCTCTATTTGTTCTATGATGTTCGCTAATCTTTTGGCAAAAAATAAAATCCCATATTTGTTAGGTGTTTTACTAGGTAGAAACCTCTATTCGTTAGGAGAGGTTTATTTTATTTAGACTTCTAGAGTTGCTGCAGTTTTTGAGATTGACACAGAAGATGCTACAGAACGATGCTGCAACACACTGTTCAGGATCAGAGGTCTGAGCACGGGATTTTAAGCTGCAATCTGAATTAGAGACCTATTGGTACTGTGATTACATGATAATAACTCCAGCTGTACATGCTAAGGAATCCCAACTCTTTAGGCTACTTGTGGATCAAGATTAAGGGAGTAGAGTTCAAGCCAACTTCTACTAACCTATTCCTACTAGGATTGTGTTAAGAGAAGCCTATAAAAACGCAGCAGGTCCCTGAGAAATACTTGGAGCGATTGAGAGGGAAAACAAAGAATATACGCTGATGTAGAGCATTCCCGTCGCGTCCCGGAGCTTCCCTTGCATGAAGAAGATTACGATCTACATATAGGAAGAGATATTCAACGCCAAAACAGATTGTGACATCCAGGAGATGAACCAGAGCTTAAGGAGAGGGCTGTCAACACGTTTGTCCTCGTGATCTTAGTGGAGATGTGATAGCTGAAGCGGATCTGAACAGAGTTCGGGTTAGAAATCCTAGATTAGAAGTTTTGTCATAACAGATCGGAGAAGTGTGTCTCATCATGTTATTATGTACCGGTGTAACTTGCATCTAGTGATTTAGTGGAGGGCTATTACACGGATGTGGGCCCCGCAGATTAGGAGAATTTCTCCGAACTGCGTAAACATATCTCGTGTCATTTTTACGCATTTTTATAGTTACAGCATTCTGTCCAGTAGGCGCTGTAACACCCTGTGCATCATCTGCTTCTTTCTGTGTGTGCTTGTGACAGAGAAGTGTTATAGCACCCTGTCCGTCATCTATTACTGTGACAGCGATGCAGCATCTTCTCTGCAGCATAGTCGATTGATTTGTTTGCATATCCTTCAATTGGCGATTTTCGCTGCACCCCCACAAACTGTCAACCTCGGCGTCGACGGAGGATCTTTTCTTTGACGATCCGCCGTTGGAATTGTTGAGATGTTGCCACTTCGGTGAACGGTTGAAAATCCTCCAAATATCGATGGGCACCTTGCCTTGGTGCCTGTCATGTTGATACCGGGTTGTGGCAAGCCGGAGGACATCAGCGTCGTTCGTCCTGCTCCTCTGGGACAAGGCGCATTCCTCGTAAACTCTGATAAACTTTCGGACTTTACGGTTGATGTGGCTCCATTTGGAAGTGAGCTGGTCCCGGGTACGGTAGGAGTCGTCCTTGTTCATCGCCGTGAATAACTTTTCCTCGATACGATTAGGGATGGCAATTTTATCCGAATCCGACTTTTTCCGACCCGACCGAAGTATATAATATCCAAATCCGACCGAAAAAATAAATATCTGAAACCGACCCGAAGATTTTAAAACCAAACCCGACTTTTGTCGGGTCGGTTTTCGGTAATTAAATTTGACCGACCCGACCCGTACCCGATCGACCCGATAATTAACTCGAAATAAAAGGCCTTTTTAAAATATAAAAAAACCTTTTTCAATTAAAAGTCTTTGACTTACGGGAGTTACCGGTTACGGACTTGAAAAATATTTGTGAAAACTTGTTATATTTATGTGTGTTGTTTCTCTTGTGAAATATATGTGAAAACTTGTTATACTTCCATGTTTTGGTTGTTATTTGGGACACATGTTTTTTAATATCTTAATTTTACGATGTCTTTGAACGTTCAAATGTTTTTATGTATTGGAATTCTATTTATATCATTACTTGCATTTATTATTTTATCATTATTTTAATAAAAATCATTACAAAAAACTGATTTATTAGGATATTGGTATGGTCAGTCGGTCGGGTCGGTCGGTTGGTCAGTCGGGTCGGTCGGTTTTCAGGTCGGGTTAGGCTTAGGTTTTTGTCAAATTCTCGGGTTCGGTTGCGGTTTCGGGTTTCGGTTTAGGCAGTCGGGTTCGGGTTCGGGTAGAAATTTATACCCGGCGGTTCGGGTTCAGGCAAAAAAAAATATCCGATCAAAATTTCGGGTCGGTTTCGGGTAAGGGTATATCCGAACCGAACCCGACCCGTTGCCATCCCTAGATACGATCCTACATCGCATCCTTCGTTTGCTCCGAACCTTTAAAAGAATATAAGACTATTTTTTTTATAACACGATTATATATAATTTTATATTAATAAAAAAATAAATATATTAGAAAACATATACTCCCTCCGTCCCGTTTTAAATCGCCCGTTTTGACTTTTGGGCATATTTAAGGAAAATTAAAAATAGAGTTGATTTTTCGAAATTGTCAATACTTTTTAGGAGGGATGATGATAAATGAGAATATAATGTGAAGAGAATTGACTTATTTTAGAGGTAGTTTAGGTATTTTATTTTTAAAACTTTACTAAAACAACTAACAGGCAACTTATTTTGGGACGGAGAAAAAAGGCAAACAGGCAATTTAAAATGGGACGGAGGTAGTAATTTTTACCAACGATAAGATGCTCGGAGACGTCAACCCAAGCCGATGCCAACAAGCACTCTTCCTCCGGCGTCCACTTTTTGAATGACCGTGTCGCCTCGGTCATCGTGCCTTTCGCTTTGTGGCTCTTCCGGCGTGCACTTTTTTTGGTGCCGGATGGTCCCGGTTGAGTCTCCGGAACTGACTCCCGCTCATAGACGTACCCTGATGGTTGCGTCTCGAACATCGATAGATTACTCCTGAATTGTAGGAAATACCACATGGCGTGCTCGTTAGGCTCTAGATCGTCGGGTAAGAAGCCAGAGCCGGAAGGATTCATCTTGAAAAGAGAGTTGGAGAATTGGAGAATTGAAGAAGATGTAAAGAAGATTGATAGGTGTGAGAACTGAAGATTGAAATGTGTGAGAATTGGAGGAGATGAAGTTTGAAATTTATAAAAAAAAATAATTAACTTTTTTTTATTATTGCAACGACTATTTTAGCTGTTAGAAGGGGAGGCGCAGCGTCAAACATCTGACGCCAAATGGATGAAGCTCGTTTCACGCCCTAGGGGGGCGGTGTTTAACGCCCCCCAAGCATTAAAAGTAGGGTTGACGCCGGTGGGCTTCACACCCGTTTCCACTGGCCTTAGTATAAAAGTAAACATTTTGTAATTTTTTTGGGACAAAAATGAGAAGGAATATTGTAATCTAATTGGGGACGGAGGGAGTAAGAATTCCATGCGGTAGCGGGTAGCCCAGTTCACACAGCCCAAACCCAACTAGAATGACGGATGGAGCATTACTACATGAAAAATGCTAGGGGTACACCAAATGGTGTACCCTATTTGTCCCTCACCCCCTCCATTACCACAAAAATGGGCAAAAATTTTAAAAAAAATTAAATAAATACAAAGTAGATAAAAATGAGTGATGAAGAAGGGAGTGTGGGACAAATGGAATACACCTTTGGTGTACCCTAGCGCTCTTACTACATTATTCATTTAAGTTTTGGACACGAACACTGTTCGCCTAGACGATTAGTGTTTTTGTACAGACAATCTGTATGCGGGCCCCCCTAATACATTTTTGAAAAATGCTAGGGTACACCTTTGGTGTACCCCAAATATCCCCACCCCCTCCTTGTCCACCAAAAAAGGCAAAAAAATTCAAAAAAATTAAGTAAATAAAAATCAAATAAAAATGTGTGGAAGAAAAAAGGGTGGTGTACATTTGGGGTACACTTTTTGGTGTACCCCTAGCATTACTCTACATTTTTTTTCCAAGTCAGTCTCAATGTGGGAAAACGCTCATCTGTGGGGGCCAGACTCCATCCACGAGCCGGCCACTCATGACAGAAGGGAGTTGAGGGTCTACTTCATCTGCATTCTCTCTGAAACAACAATAATTGCAGATATAAGGAAAGCTGCTTTTAATGAGCTTCCGGTAAAACACAAATCCCATTATGACGGCGGATCAATCACAGCAGATTTCTAAAAACTTTCCTTTTTTGATTTAGTTTCTCCCAATTTCATTTCTAAGGTACTGCTTCGTCTTCTTCTTCATCAAATATCACTTTTCTAGTTTTGCAATTACTGAAATAAGTGTGGAATTACTCGGCAGAGCTAGAGCTGGCGTTTGGTATGAAAGGGTTGTGATGAAAGACTGTTCTTGATTCGATTGGATGTAGTTTAAAGATTTGATTTTGTTTGAAGGGTTTGTTTATGTATGGGCTGAGAGATGAGAATTCTGCTGGGATTTGTGATTTTCAGCTGTTTTTGTGTTTTCTTGAAGAGTTGATGTTATTGCAGTTGTAAAAGGTTCATAGGTGTTGAAGAGGTTTGACAATCTAGCACAGAAGTGTTTGCAGTTAGCTTTCCTTGATGAGCTTTGGGAAATGGCTTCATATGGTGCTTTAATAACTGGAAATTAGTGTGGAAAAATGGAAGGAGTAGATTCTTCAGAAATGGCAAGGAGTCTGTTGTATGGAGCTGTTATTCTTTCGTGCTTTTGCTCTTTGGTTTCACCCGATGTTCAAGGTTTGCCCTGGCTATTTTTACTTCTTATTTTTCTGTGATCAGTTTAAGAAGTCGGTTTCAATTATTAGCAAAAGGCCGCGAGTTTTGCCGGAGAATTGCAAGTTATGGGCCATGTGTTTTATTGATGAAGTATTTTTCAGTGGGGTTTTGAGTCTTAAGTTGATAGTTTTCAGTGGGGTTTTGAGTCAGGACTTTTGGTTTGGAGTATTTTGTTTAATGAATATACTCCGTACATCTTGTTCGATGCATATTGTATTAAAAGAGTTTTGATACATTGAGATGTCTAGAGTTTGGACTTTGGAGTCAGTGTATAACTCCATAAGTAAAGGGCCATAGCATATGGAGTATTACACTCTGCAGCTTGCAAAAAGAAATCAAGTCAATTCTAGATTTTTCGTGATAAACCAATGTTATAAATTGTTTCTTTGCCTTCTATTTCATTCAGTTTGCAGTATTAGTTGTATTTATTGTGAGTGGATTATCAAGTTATTCTGTGAGATGAATAATGATTCATAAAAGAAGACTGTGATTCACATATAGCTCTTTTACAATGTTTGTTTCGTTTATCTATATTAGGAGATGCCTTGTATGCATTGAAGCTGTCACTGAATGCATCTAGTAATCAGCTTCAAGATTGGAATACTAATCAAGTTAATCCATGCACTTGGCCCAAAATCTCATGTGATGATAATTCCAATGTCGTCATGGTGTAAGCGTCAATGTTTGTTTATGGTCAAACCCATGCTAACTTGATAGTGTTTTCCATCTTACAATGTTTACTGACCGACATGCTACTGATATATTTGTCATGGTGGTGGTTTGTAGGTCATTGTCTAATATGGGATTTTCAGGCATTTTATCTCCAAAAATCGGAGTTTTGAAGAAGCTCAACACACTGTATGTGCTTAGAACAAAGAGTGTTTGATTGACTAATAGTGATATTTTGTTTATTTGTGCATTTTGTGTTCATCTACACAATATTTGTGTTGTTAATTACTTAAAAAATAGTTGTGCCATTTGCTACCATGGGCTTAGATATATACTCCTCTACTCCCTCTACTCCAGGGAGTAGAGGTAATGTCTTCTTAGTTACATCTCATGCTTCCCTAGACCATACTTCCAAGTGGAACATGCATGTTTTGCTTTGCTCTCTTATTTCTTAGTTTCTAGCGGATCTCATGTGTTTATCATTTAGGTCACTGCAAGGAAATTTCATAACTGGCACGATTCCAGAAGAAGTTGGAAATTTGACAAGCTTGACTATGTTGGACCTGGAAAACAACCAACTTTATGGAGAAATACCAGCTTCCCTTGGTAGCCTCAAGAACCTCCAGTTCTTGTAAGCCATACTAGTACATCCTTTAATCTTTCACATGCATTGTCGACGTTTGTTTTGTATGATCGCGCAACTATATTTCTGGAAGCAGGTTCTTGAATCAAAACAATCTCTCCGGGACAATCCCTCAATCACTTTCAAGCCTTCATAGCTTGTATAACTTGTGAGTTACCAATTTTGTTGGACATACACATACTATCTCAATAGGGAAATTATTTGTTGCATTCCTACCACTTACGAATCTGATGTTTAATTTTTTCACCAACGAACCTATACTGGGATTTTCTCTCTCCCTTGACTCTCTTGAGATGTCCTTACAGGCAGCCCGATTCGAATGGTCTTACTGGTGAAATACCTGAAAGTCTATTTGAGGTCCCCAAATACAAGTATGCCAACCTCTAATATTGTTTGGAGCTGTTAAATATTCCCTCCATCTTGATTTAACTGTCCATCTTTCCTTCTTCAAACATCCAAGTTAGTTATTCAGTTAGTGTATTTGGAGAAATAATTTTTCATGAGTTGCTAACATACCTTTGATGTATAGCAAACCCGCACAATGAATATTACACTCATCTCCCTTGGTGCTATCAAAAAGGACATGTATGATGGGGCGATGGCGGGGTTGTGGTCGATAGGAGGTGACTATTACCACTTCCCGGCGGGAGTGGGGTTACATTAGTTTTTGCGCATGTGTTCTCGTGATATTTTCCTTTGTGATATGCTCTTATGTTTAGAGTCGGCGTCTCTTTGAAACTGCCTCTCTACTTTCTTAGTAGGGATAAGGTCTGCGCACACACACCCTTCCTACACCCCACGCTATGGGACTTAAGTGGCTCTGCTGTTATTGTATATGAAATAGCAAACACATGTGGCTAGTTTTGTCATTTACGCATTTTGGAAAGTGAACAATAGAACTCGGATGGAGGGAATAATAAGAATCTGCTCGGCAACATGAATTTAGCCTCTAATATTTGAATTTATGATGTTCATATTGTATAAAAAATTATTTCCTTGTTCTAGCTTTACAGGCAACCATTTGAATTGTGGCTTCAATTTCAGCCATCTTTGTGAATCTGGTAGAGGTAAATGGAACTTTATCACATTTATTTTCCAGATTAAGAGCTATAATGGTCCGTAGTAAGAACATTTCCTGTGATTCTTCTGGAGGAAACTATACGTTGAAACCAAGTGAACTATAGTATACACACATATTTTCGGACTTTTCTCTGATGAACTAGCTCTACGTTGGCAGCTCCTTCAGGCAAATCAAAGACTGGAATGGTTGTTGGCATTGTTGTTGGATTTGTTTGTATTGTAATCGCGGGAGGCTTACTGCTATGTTTGTTGAGAGGCCGACATAAAAGCTACATGCGCGAGGTCTATGTAGATGTTCCAGGTTAGTGTCAATTCTACCTAGTTCATTGAATTATGGCATAACATTGATTTTTTTATGGCGATTTCTTTTTCCATTCTTGATTTGAGGAATGCCAGAGTCAAATTTCTTTCCTGATTGTGGGTTTGTAACTTTTTCTGTACAGGAGAAGTTGACCGGCGGATAGAATTTGGTCAGTTGAAAAGGTTTTTATGGACAGAGTTGCAAATTGCTACAGAGAACTTCAGTGAAAAGAACGTGCTGGGACAGGGAGGTTTTGGGAAAGTTTACAAAGGAGTACTCCCTGATAACACAAAGATTGCCGTTAAACGGTTAACAGACTATGAGAGTCCCGGTGGAGATGCTGCGTTCCACCGTGAAGTTGGGATGATAAGTGTGGCTGTTCACCGGAATCTCTTAAGGCTCATTGGGTTTTGCACCACACCAACAGAGCGACTTCTGGTATACCCCTTCATGCAAAACTTGAGTGTTGCCTATCGATTACGAGGTACTTTTATTTAAAAGTATTTATTTCTCTTTAATTATTTAGATAAATATATCCGATTGACCTGTGGATGCAATTTTAGAACGCAAACCTGGGGAGGCTGTTCTAGATTGGCCTACGAGAAAGCGTGTTGCATTGGGCACGGCGCGTGGACTTGAGTACTTGCATGAACATTGTAACCCTAAAATCATCCACCGTGATGTTAAGGCTGCAAATGTATTGTTGGATGAATACTTCGAAGCTGTTGTGGGCGATTTTGGGCTGGCAAAGCTGGTTGATGTTAGAAGGACGAATGTGACAACTCAAGTTCGTGGAACGATGGGACACATAGCCCCTGAATATTTGTCTACCGGAAAATCATCAGAGAAAACAGATGTTTTTGGCTACGGAATCATGCTTCTTGAGCTTGTAACAGGTCAACGCGCGATCGATTTCTCTCGCCTTGAAGAAGAAGATGATGTGTTATTGCTTGATCATGTAAGTTTGCATCCATTCTTTTTATTAAGACCCTAGGCTTTGTAATAAAATCTCAGACTTCTACATGGTATCATATTCAAAACTTATGAACAAAAAAAAAACAAACTAATCGTATTCGAGCAAGTGACAGCTTGATGTAAAAGCACCAAATTCAACTTATTCTTATTGGAAGGGGTCAGATAAAACCAGATTGGATCAGAAACAACTTTAAATATAACTACAATGAGATTAGACCAAACCAAATCTGATCAAATCGGACCTTAATAAAATCGGATCCAATTAGATGAGACGAAGAGAACAAGCTCTAAAAGGACTAGTATGTAGTAGAATAATGTTAAAACCCCACCACGGGTGCCCCCATGAATGACAATCACAAATGATTTTATTCATACACAAACGATGAATGTCAATCATCTTAAAGGTCATCCATGGGGCAACCGTGGTGGGTTCCTAGCATAGTCATGGTCCTACGGAGTATATATAAGAATGAGTGACACCTTTTCCACACTATGCTTTTTGTTCTACTAATGGTTGCTAAAGTGCATAGATATATTATATATCATCATCATTATTGAAGGTGAAGAAGCTGCAAAGAGAGAAGAGGCTACACGCCATTGTAGACGGCAATCTAAACAAGAACTACAACATAGAGGAAGTGGAGATGATGATTCAGGTGGCTCTGCTGTGCACGCAGGCATCGCCCGAAGAACGCCCCGCAATGTCGGTGGTAGTGAGGATGTTGGAAGGGGAGGGTCTCGCCGAGAGGTGGGAAGAGTGGCAGCACGTCGAGGTCACCCGCAGGCAAGAGTACGAGCGGCTGCAGAGACGGTTTGATTGGGGGGAGGATTCGATCTATAATCAGGACGCGATTGAGCTGTCTGGGGGAAGATGAAATAAGTCTCAGTCAGTTGAAGGTATTTTGTGAAGTTAGAGTTAGGGTATTTTCATGTCAGTTGGCTGAACACTTAGCTACAATTGTTTTTTCCTCTTATTCTTGTATTGATCTTTTTAGACAAGTAATATATCCTGTTCATAAACTCTGTCTAATGACCGCACAAATGTAGTAATTCTTGTTACCTGAACAGAAAGTATAGGTCTACATTTGCTGCCTCACACTAATATGAGGGATAATTGGTTGTTTGTTCTTCAAAGGTTCGAAAGGTTTACTGTATGTACCCCTCCCTCCCCAAAAATTGTTTTTTTTCCGAATAACGTGTAAAATACTATCTCTTTTAAATTGAGTTTATTTGCAAATTGGGAAGGAAATAAAAATTAGAACTTACATATTTAGATATTACATCAAAAGTTTTACAAAGTGATTGGTGGCAGGAATATTTTATTTTGTTATATAAAACATGAAACAGCATACCTAAACCAATGCTCTTGGAAGTCTAAAGTACTAATTAGTCTAATTTTTGGGGGACAGAGGGAGTAGTTCATTAATTCTCACAATGAAGTTCCAGCTCACTATTGAGGTTAGATTTTATATACATTATTTGTCTATTTTCATTACTATTTTGATCAAATAACATAGTTATGCCACGTTTTATTTAGTTACTTATGAAACTTTTATTTAGTTATTAGAGTAAATAACATAAATGGTTCATAATTACAGGTAAAGTCTAAGGCCGAAATGGCAAGGCAAAGTCTTCGTTGATCTTTGAAATTTTTTTAGCCGTTCACCGAAATGGCATCAACTCACCAACACTGAGGCCGGATCGTCAAAGAAAAGATCTTCCGTAGCCGATGAGACTATCGGCTCTTCGGAACAAATGCCCCCCTTCAACCTAGACGACTCTGACGACGAGGACCCCATTCCACGGCTAATCAAAAGAAAGAAGGCAAAATCCATTGCCTCGGGTTCTAGAGGGTCTGACTCTATTTCTTCTCACGACGATATTAGTCGGGTAATGGTTGAACAACTTCGTCTGTTCAATATTAGGGAAGAAGAGAGGGAGAAACGGATATTGATACATTAATGGGCTTCAAACACATGCTTTTTGAGAGAAGACAAAAAGAGATCAAGGCCAAATATAATTTGCCTTAGTTTTTTATTTAATGTTTTTTATTGAATGTAATTTTCTAATTTATTGAATTATTATCATTTAAATTTAATTAAAATGAAGTTTCATTTAATTTAATTTTAGAAGATGTGTATTAAAAATGTAAAAAATAAAGGTTTGAAACTCTAGTTTGAAGCCCCGGTGCTTGATATCTATTTCTAGTGAAACTGCGAGATAAGTTAAAACTGATGTAACAGAAAGAAATTTTAAAGTCCCGGAGCTTTACGGGTATTACTAAGTGCTCTTAGCTGATATGGGGCCACTCTAAGACCCCTTTTTCATATATGGTGCCACTATTGTGGGAACATGTCAGGTAAAGTTTACTTTATGTTCTTTTCTTTTCTTTTTACACTTCTGAATTTTGCATTACTAAAGTTATGAAGTCTATTTTATATGGAGTACTTCTTTGCTCATGTCACATCTCTAATATCCACCGTTATTCCAACTATCTTTAATACTCATACTAATTATACTATAGGTGCATATATAAAAAGTTAACAACATTCGTATATTTGCTTAAAACTTTGTAATTTTTTCTTCGTAAAAAGCCAATTAGAGCACACGGAGTACTTAAGAAGAGGTTCATGAGGAATTTATGGAGGCCTAACTTGTGAGATTTCAAATAGCGAAAAACTCTACAGACGGGTCTAAAATGGAACTTTCTTCCAAATGGAACTTTGCTCCAATGTTGAAGAATAATGATTTTCATTGATCAATTGAGTTGTGATTACATGTATTTATATTAGAAGAGTCTCAATCCTAAACAAGGTAGGAGAGACACAAGGAAAGAAACTTATACAAATAAGGTAAGGGAATAATACAATATATTTAACATGCTCCCGGCTATGTCGAATGTGGAGGAGTTCCCAAGCTTTGTCTGAAGTCCAGAAATAATAAAGATGACAGTCCCTTAGTGAAGATATCAACATACTGCGAAGACAAGGAGACGTGGAGAACTCGCACATGACCCAGTGCTACTTTGTCACGGGCAAAGTGGATATCAACTTCCACGTGTTTGGTGCGCTGGTGCTGTACAGGATTTGTCGAGAGATACACAGCACTGCCGTTGTCGCAAAAGACAAGGGTGGCAAGCCGAAGGGGTTGCTGCAGCTCAAGTAGTAGATTCGGGATCCAGCTCGTCTCTGCAACGGCGTTGGCCACAGCGCAATACTCAGATTCTGCACTGTAACGGGAAGTGGTAGCCTGACGCTTGGAGGACCAGGAGACTAGGTTATCACCGAGAAAGACACAGTATCCAGAGGTGGAACGTCGGGTGTCTGGGCATCCGGCCCAATTAGCGTCAGAGTATGCCTGTAGGGAGTCGGTGGAAGAGCGCGCCAGGTGGATGCCATGGGTGGGGGTGCCACTGAGATAGCGCAGGACACGCTTCATGGGTGTGAGATGAACATCACGGGGGGGCATGAAGGTGTAGACAAAGCTGCTGGACGACATATGTGATGTCAGGACGAGTAAATGTAAGGTACAGTAATGCTCCAACAACGGATCGATAAAGAGTAGGATCAGGGAGCAGTGTACCTGACGAGGAGGAGAGCTTTGCCTTTGTGTCCACTGGGGTGGAGATGGGGCGACAAGAGACCATCCTGGCCCGCTCGAGTATGTCATGAGTGAACTGTGTTTGGTGGAGAAATAGGCCACTGGTCGTCCTGTGTACGTTGATGCCGAGGAAAAAGTGTAGGTCTCCCATGTCTGTCATAGCAAATTCGGCCTCTAGCCGCTGGATGAGATGTTGGAGAAGTGCAGTGGAAGATGCTGTGAGAACAATATCATCAACGTACAGTAGTAGGTAGGCAGTGCCCATGGTATGAGAGAAAACAAACAGTGATGTATCCGACTTGCACCCACAAAACCCAATAGTCTGAATAAAACTTGCAAATCCGTGATACCACGACCGGGGTGCCTGCTTAATCCCATAGAGGGCCTTCTTGAGTCGACAAACATAATGAGGTCGAGCGGGATCCTGAAACCCGGAAGGCTGACTGGCGTAAACTGTCTCTTGTAGCTGACCATCGAGGAAGGCATTTTTGATGTCTAGTTGGTGAATGGTCCATCCTCTGGACAGAGCAATGCTAAGATTGATACGGACTGTAGCAGGTTTGACAACGGGGCTGAAGGTCTTGTGGTAGTCGATGTCAAAGCGCTGATTAAAACCGCGGACTACCCAACGGGCCTTGTATCTGGATAACTCACCTGATGGGCCAAGTTTGTGTCTAAAAAGCCATTTGCCAGAGATTATGTTTTGGGTGGGGGAGGGGGTACTAATTCCCATGTTTCATTCTTGATCAAGGCATTATATTCATCACACATAGCAGCATGCCAGTTTGGATCTTTTAGTGCACTACGGTAAGTTGGGGGTAAGGGGGAGATAGGTGATGAGGCAGTAAGGTTCAGGATTTGTTTTGTGCAAAAGATTCCGGCTTTAGATCAGGTTTGCATTGGGTGGAGATTGGGAGC